CTGTGATGGTTATGTGTAATATTTGCTTTTAGATTGCTTTGTTTATTTGAAAACCCTTTTGTGGTTTTGATCACAGGTTGATGGAGTCTGGATTGCTTCCAGCCGAAAAAGCAAAGAAAGTTCTTGAGAAGAAACTGCAAAAGGGTGGAAAATTAAGTTCTCCAGTAAAATCTGCTGCTTCTACTCCAAGAAGCAACTCCAAATCAGTGACCGTGAAGAAGAAGGAAGTACAAAAGTCGCCATCTGAAGCTTTGTCAAACAAAAAGAAGGGAAATGATTCGAAACCAACCACGAAGAAGAGGAAGAAGAACTCTGATGATGACGACTCAGATGATGATTTTTTGGCTAGCAGAGTCTCTAAAAAGGCTAGAGCCAAGTAGGTTGAATTAAAAGACTGAAATCTCATTGTGTTATTTGTAATCGTTTCTTAGGGAGTCAATTTGTAGAATGCTTGAAAGGTGAATTCTTTAAGAGTAATGAGAGAGATGGCCAATTGTTTCTGATCTTATCGTGTACTTCTTTAGTTATTAAGCAAAGACTTAATCACGTTTGGTTTAGAGCATGATAGTTACTCTTCGTCCATGTCACTACTTTGTAACCTCGTCATTCTGACTAGCGAAAAAGCCGTTGAACTGATCTTTGAGGCACTTTTCCTTGGAGCTTTAGTCTTCGATATGACTCTCTGATATGGCAAGGTCTAATAGGTCCTGATTCCTTCCTTTCCCTCATAACAACTCGAGCTGTTTCCACAAGGTCGCCAACAAACATCTTTGCGATACCACGCACAACGATGTTCATAGTGTCGTCCATCTTCGGACCCCCTGTGATTCTCTGTACCAACTTCTCCATGTCTGATTTCTTAAAACCAGATCTTCTGAAAGATTCATATCTGCTCATTTGTTCCTCTGTAAATTGTGATAAAATCTTCTGCATCTTGTTGGCTCTAGTCACAGGATCAGCACCAGTTATGTTTTTGGTGAACTCAACTTCATCTTTGTTCTTCGCTTCAGCAACAACGGACGTTTTACATTTCTTCACAGCTCTCTCATCTCCTTCAAGAGTCTGCTCGGTTTCAACAGGTGATTCCTCTTGCTCCTCCATTGCTGCTTCAAACGGATCCTTCGAATGCTTCATTCTTAATAAAACCTTAACGAAAATCACATATCTTTGGATCTTAAAACTCCAAAATTCAGCCAATTTTTTTGTTGCACATCCGACCACACTAGAAAAAATCCGACATGAACATGAACTCAAAGAAATCAATTTTTTGTACTTGTAATTACAAGTACCTTGGCACTGGCTGATCTTTCAGACAATTGCAGTTACAAGTAACCCGCTCGTTGCTACTAGCAAAACAACAAGACCTTGCGTTAAAGGCCATTTATTGTCAAGCCTATTTTTTAAGAAGCCCAAATGTAAAAGTCGGTGGGAAATGAAGTATCTTTATTTATAGAGGCAAAAGTTTAGCTTCCTTTATACTAATTTACTCGATGTGGGACAATTGAGAGAAGTATAAAATTTATATACGACACAGTAGCTTGAGAAGCAAGGACGTATTATCTCAAATGGAAAATACAAGACACCCAAAATAAATGGAAACTTCAAACTTTCTTTGAACAAATTACTCAAACAAAAAACACATTTAAACAAATTTCCCATTTTTTCAATGTTTTTCAATCAAATTTAAATAGAGAGATTTCCAAGAGTCGTTTCCTTGTTTTTTAAGTAAAATGTTTGATTTGGTGGATCAAGTCTCATAATCTCCCTCCTCTTCTTCTTCAACATCATACTCACCTTCCTCATCAGCAGTAGCATCTTGGTACTGTTGGTATTCAGCGACCAAATCATTCATATTGCTCTCAGCTTCCGTAAACTCCATTTCGTCCATTCCTTCTCCTGTGTACCAATGCAGAAACGCTTTACGCCTAAACATAGCCGTGAACTGCTCACTCACTCTCCTGAACATTTCTTGAATCGACGTCGAGTTACCCACAAACGTCGCCGCCATTTTGAGCCCCTTTGGTGGGATATCACAAACGCTGGATTTCACGTTGTTTGGGATCCACTCAACGAAGTAAGACGAGTTCTTGTTCTGTATGTTTAGGATTTGCTCGTCGACTTCTTTTGTGCTCATCTGTCCTCTGAAAATAGCAGAGGCTGTGAGGTAACGTCCGTGACGTGGATCAGCTGCACACATCATGTTTTTGGAGTCCCACATTTGTTGAGTCAGCTCAGGAACGGTGAGTGAGATGTATTGTTGCGAGCCACGGGAAGTGAGGGGCGCAAAACCCACCATGAAGAAATGGAGACGAGGGAATGGGATTAGGTTCACCGCGAGTTTCCTGAGGTCAGAGTTTAGTTGTCCGGGGAACCTTAAGGAGCAAGTCACACCGCTCATTGTTGCGGAGATCAAATGGTTCAAGTCTCCAACTACATCATCATGCAATGTATCAGAATTAGTTTTAAATACATTTTGGGTAAATGGAGGATAAGAATTGGGTGTACTTACAGCTAGGAGTGCTGAGTTTGAGGGTACGGAAGCAGATATCGTAGAGAGCTTCATTGTCGAGGACCATGCATTCATCAGCGTTCTCTACAAGCTGATGGACAGAGAGAGTTGCATTGTAAGGTTCAACGACTGTGTCAGAGACTTTAGGAGATGGGAAAACAGAGAAAGTGAGCATCATTCTGTCTGGATACTCCTCTCGGATCTTCGATATCAATAGTGTTCCCATTCCTGAACCTGTGCCTCCTCCCAACGAATGGCACACCTGAAACCCTGTAAAATAATGCAGCCCCATGATTCACATAGTATTGGTTCCATCGATGAGACGAAAAAGTGTTCATATATAGTCAAGCAAACATCTTGTTACTAGTCCTTGCTAACTAAATCAACTATAATGTTTATGTGAATCTACAATGCTTTAAAACAATAATCAATGAATCTACAATATGCGTTAAGAAATATTTCTCCCCAATAATAACAATGCACACTAGTAGTCATAGACTCATAGTTATAATTGAAGTTAAATAATCAATGTATAAAACGAATCACGTGAGACCTGACCAAAAGTAACTAAAAAAAACGAATCACGTGAGATTGTTGTTCGGGCTCCACAAGCATTATCTATAAACTCTAAAGGCAAAAGAGATTTTTATTAACTTTTTACTACAAAATTCCAAGAAATCTATATGATGTAGTAGGACCACTCCATCTTTTATCCCGTAATCACGGTGCCTTGAAAATGTTTTGATCACGACATCACAATGATATAATATCTTATCTCTGAAGCTTTAATATGAAGAAAAAAACTTGACAAAAAAATATCTCAATACTATACAAAACAGCTTGGCCCTACCAATAATAAGTGCTAACATCCCACTCCACACAAAACAGCACTTGCATTTCAATTATTTCGTTGCTGTCTTGCAATTACATTAAATAAGACGATTTGATTGAACGTATTACTGAATAAGAACCCACATGCACTGATGCACACCAATAATAGATAAACAAGATCATCAAAGTAAAAAAAAAAAAAATCAAAATAACATACTATAGTACACTTACTAAACCGTGACCTAATTTTACTAATTATGTAGATAGATATCATACTATATTACAAGAAGAGATCTGTGGTGATAAACGATTATCGATACGGTGACGTCAGACAAATTACGAATGAAATGATTATTGAATCAAACTAAATCCAGTAAATATACGAATTATGATGCACGACATCAAACACTATAGAAAATTTGCGTATAATGGAAAATTCAGAAAAATATATATATAGTACCTTGAAGGCAATCGCAGTTCTCAGCTTCTTTACGAACAACATCAAGAACAGCATCAATAAGTTCAGCACCTTCAGTGTAATGACCTTTAGCCCAATTATTACCAGCACCAGACTGACCAAAGACAAAGTTATCAGGACGGAAGATCTGACCAAACGGTCCGGATCTGATACTATCCATAGTACCAGGCTCAAGATCCATAAGAACAGCACGAGGAACGTATCTTCCACCTGAAGCTTCATTGTAATAGACATTGATACGTTCAAGCTGGAGATCTGCAGTGTCTCCACTGTAACGTCCGGTGGAATCGATACCGTGCTCGTCGCAGATGACTTCCCAGAACTTGGAACCAATCTGGTTACCGCATTGACCACCTTGAATGTGAAGGATCTCTCTCATTGTGTTAGTGTGTGTAGTGGTTCACAAGATCGAGAGAGAGAGAGATGGTGAAGGAATATGAAAGATGGGAGTGACAGCTAATATAACCAATTGTCTCTGTTATTCATCACTTCCCTCGCTTGCGAGGTTTTTATTCTCTGTTTTTTTTCACCCCACCTAACACTTTTTTATCTTAGTCATTTTACATTGTCTTATTCACTCAAAATTTACCGCCGAAAGGTTTTTAGATTGGCATAATTTCAGATTTCAGATTCAGTGTTTAATTAGCAACTTGGAGCATGCATGTGCATATATTGCCAATGTATGTTGTTGACATGTTGTATACACATGAATATGTCTATACAAAAACAAGCTTTATAATATATTTTTTCCCAGTTGTAGAGTAGAGATATGGGAGCACGTTATGCAAAATTGTATTATTGAAAAAATTGTATTTTTTTCATTAATGTAGTTAAATTGTTTTCATATAATAAATTGTGTGTTAAAAATAAGGAAGAAGAAAGTAATCTATACAAAATTTTATAAGGACTTTCAATTTCAGAACTAGATCTAGTAAAGTCATACATGGGCCAGACATGTAGATAAATAGACGAGCCCATTTAAAAATAAACGGTGTCGTATGCTTTAATTGTCAAACTAAACCCTAGATTTGCTCCATCATCCTATATAAAAAGGCAAACTAGTCTTCAGTACCCAAAATCGCCGGCTATATTCGTCTCTTTTTTCTTCGTGTTTTTGTAGCTTTCATCTTTGATATTGTTTTACTTTGCTAAAGAAATCGATTTTTTGATGTGAAGAAGTTAAATTCAAGTGATGAGATTTGATCTAAAATTCTCACGACGGTCGTCTGAGGCCTTTTGTGGCCGATTGATGTACCGATCACTCCTCTCTGATGATAAACTTTCTTCTTTCCCAAATCTCCTTTGTTTTTGTTTTAATCCAAACTCTTGTTGATTTTTAGTTAATCTAGTTCGTTTTTCATATTGAGAAAAGAAATTTATGGAATTGGTTGTGTTATACTACTTTATAGTATATCTGTATATGGTTTGACGACCTTGTGGAGATGACCGAAACAATAAAGTAAATACATTGACCAATTGAGAAACTGTTATTCACTGAAACTTCTAACTACCAATGATCTCTTAATCAAGATTGTGAATTACTTGGATTCGTCTCCCTGAATTAGACTTCGATTATTGCGTAGTAATTATCTTAATCCCATATGCATATATGGTACATAGTTTAAGGATTTTAAAGAGAAACAATTTAGTAATTCATGTAAACTTTGAGCTTTCTGTTTTATTCGACACAATCAAGGGGTACACACAAGTTTTTTCTATGCTACTAGACACAGTCATCTGCGTGGCACACATGGTTTGTATACATTTGATCATGTAAATTGGTACCAACTGTGTAAACATGGCTCCTCGATAATATAGAACAATACCAACTTTTCACAGTGACTCGTCACGCATGACCATGAGAATATTCTCAGCAATCCTTCCACACCCTTTACCACTTTCCAACACTTTTCTTTTGGAATTCATAAGCATATAACTTGTAAATGACTGGGTCGTACCTAGTAGTACAATACGTCGTCTATGACACACGCATGCCTCCAAGACTTAGAATTCAAGCTCCTCCCACGTAATTTGCTTTTCCGTGTCAAACATCAAAACCCTCCCCTCTCCTCCGACTACATATATCTTTCCGTCGTCAAGGATGTCAGCCTTATGGGAAACCAGAGGTCTTGGCATGTTTTTACCAGAGAGGCGCCACGTGTTAGATGGACAGTCCATGAGCAATACAGACAAGCACTCATGACAAAGATTGTTGAACCAACGACGGCTAAGCTTGAACGTAGAGACATATAACTATGTAAGTGGAGCAAGGGAACAGCCACCAAGAGATTGTTAGCTCTTAGCTGTACTAGGACCTGGTGTTTTCCGGTCGAGAACATACCAGCTGAGTTTAGCTGGGAGGTTCAACATGAAAACATAGATATAGCATTCGGGACAGTCTAAAAGGGACCGTCTCGTGTATAGTTCAGGTGATGCAACCGATAGACGAAACATCTTGGAAACAAGAGAGAGCGTTGGATAGTACCAACTCTCTTGGAAGTGACATCATCTCCATATGTAAACTAGATTCCCTAAAACAAAACAATCCACAACTTCAATTTTGTATATACATTCATCATTTTGCAAATGTGGATATATAGGCATTGATTGAAAAGTGAAATGGTAAAATATGATATAATTTTGATCAGGTAGGAAAGTTATGGGTGATAATATCTTGTCCAAAAATAAAACATTGTAAAGTATATTTAAAGGAAAGGGCCCTTGTATAAAGCTTGACCACATCATATTTTTGGTGTGCTTTATAATTAAAATTTTAAATAAAATTGGATTGTGTCTAATGAGATTTGAAACTTAATTGAGGGTAAAATAGTTCTGGAAAATAAAAAAGTGCAAAGCAATGAAAAAACAATATAATTATGGGGTTTTAATATAAAAAAAACATGTGTTAAAACTTATGTTTTGAGTTGATTTTCGTATTTTATACACACAAGATATTTAGAGGAAAAAAAACAAAAGAGATATATAGGTTCCTCAAGTCAAATAACGATAACCACAACTTTGATGAACGAGATACTCTCTTCTTAAAACCTCATCCACCCAAACACAAATGTCTTGTAATCCTTCTCTTATCTTTCTCCTTGTGATTCCTTTTTATATTCCTCTGATATTTTCTCTCAGTTTGATCTCATTTGCTCTGCAATGGCGACTACCATGAATGCTGCTGTTTCTCTCACATCTTCAAACTCTTCTTCTTTTCCCGCTACAAGTTGTGCCATTGCTCCTGAAAGGATCAGGTTTACTAAGGTACTTTATAAGCTTTTCTCAACTGGATAATGATAAAGTCAAGATCCCACAAAAAAAGTTGTGTAGTCGAGAGTCTAGAGATGCTCTGCTTTTATGGTTTTGCTAATAATCTTCTGGGTCTTGTAAGTAACATGTTAAGTAAAGTTTTGGAATTTGGATAAATGTGCTTCTGGGTTTTCTCAAATATGACCAAAAACTTTTGGAAGATCAATGTACTGTTGATGGGATCTTGATTAGGTCTCTCTGGTTTTGTTGTTGTGTGTGTTTAAAAGGGTGCTTTTTACTACAAAAGCAACAATGTAGTGACAGGTAAAAGAGTGTTTTCCATAAAAGCACAAATCACAACAGAAACAGATACTCCTACTCCTGCAAAGAAAGTAGAGAAAGTGTCAAAGAAGAACGAGGAAGGTGTGATTGTTAACAGGTACAGACCAAAAGAGCCTTACACTGGAAAATGCCTTCTCAACACCAAAATCACAGCTGATGATGCTCCTGGAGAGACCTGGCACATGGTTTTCAGCCATCAAGGTAGTGATTCCATTACTTGATTCTCACAACATGTTTCTTACTTTATAATGATTCTTTTCTTGATGGTAATTGAAGTAGCATTTATGTGTCTTCGATAGGAGAAATCCCGTACAGAGAAGGACAATCTGTTGGTGTGATTGCAGATGGAATTGACAAGAATGGAAAGCCTCACAAGGTCAGACTTTACTCCATTGCAAGCAGCGCTCTTGGAGATCTCGGCAATTCTGAAACCGTAATAAACCATTTCCTTTACAAATTTTACGAGGCTTTGTTTTGTCTGGTTAAGTGAATGAAGGAGTTGTTTCAGGTTTCTTTGTGTGTTAAAAGACTTGTTTATACTAATGACCAAGGAGAGACTGTTAAAGGAGTTTGCTCAAATTTCTTGTGTAAGTACTAATGAATAAGTCTTGTGTAAGTTTATAACTTATTCACTTATTCAACTATTGTGTTTTCTTTTACTTTATTTTTCAGGTGATTTGGCACCCGGAAGTGATGTTAAGCTGACTGGTCCTGTAGGCAAAGAAATGCTTATGCCAAAGGATCCAAACGCCACCGTTATTATGGTCTCTCCCTTAAACCTCAAATATCTTGACTTGCTTATGACTAAACCTCTATAGGTTCTGTTTCTTGAAACATCATTAAACACTAGTAAACATCCTTCTTCTTCATGAACACCACAGCTTGCCACAGGGACAGGAATTGCTCCTTTCAGGTCTTTCTTATGGAAGATGTTCTTTGAGAAACATGATGACTACAAGGTAAAGTAAATGATTATCTTTTTGATTTTGACCAAAATGTATTAAAATCTAACATCTTTGCAATCGTTGGAATGCAGTTCAATGGCTTAGCTTGGTTGTTCTTGGGTGTACCAACCACTAGCTCATTGCTCTACCAAGAGGCACACACACGCTAACTCTTCTTCTGGTTTCATTCTTCAAATCCTTCCAAATCATTAAGTAAAATCAATCCTCTTTTTTTTTTGTTTTGAAAATCAGGAGTTTGATAAGATGAAAGCAAAGGCCCCCGAGAACTTCAGGGTGGATTACGCGATAAGCAGAGAACAAGCGAACGATAAAGGAGAGAAAATGTATATCCAGACTCGGATGGCACAGTACGCAGCTGAATTATGGGAGTTGTTGAAGAAAGACAACACTTTTGTTTACATGTGTGGACTCAAGGGAATGGAGAAAGGAATTGATGACATTATGGTCTCATTGGCTGCAAATGACGGTAAGAAGAGCTAATAAATAACACTCCAATTCTTGAAACATCCATTGCATAAGCAATAACACTCTAATGACTTTGTGATGGTTTTAGGTATTGACTGGTTTGATTACAAGAAGCAGTTGAAGAAGGCAGAGCAATGGAACGTTGAAGTCTACTGATCAAAAAGCCTTTGACATTTCTGTAGCAAAGTATAGCTGAACAAAACTGTAATTTTCGCTTCCGAATTTCTGTATTTTGAAGATAAGTTTTTTAGATATGTTATACTAAAAAAAGAGTTCTTTAATCATTATCATTTACTTCTTCCCATTATTTTGCTTTAAGTTAAATGACACATTGATATTTATCCATCTAAAAAAAATGTCATTTTCTTTAACTAATTGATAAGGAAAAAAACAAATGGTTAATGAATTGCCTTAGTTGACAGCAATCTGTATTTTATGGTAGCTAACCAATCCTTTAACAATATCCAATCTTATTCTTTTATGCATCTATTTAAACAAAGTAATGGTTTCTTAGGACACTTGAATACTTGAGTCGTTAGTTGATTTTGGGTTGGACTACTAATTCATGAAGGTTATAATGTTACCTCCAACTCCAAGCCATAAAATATCATGAGAAAAAGAAAAAGAATCTCGATTGAAGATTTTTACAATTTCTATGAAGACAATAGTATGGTTGAGATTTTTTCTTGCAGCCGACCAATAAAAGGAGAAATCTAGCAGGCTAATGTTTATTCTCTCTTTTCTTTGTCAGAGGCTCATTTGTCAGTAACCATTTGATCAACGGCTAAATCCTATATCCACTAAAATTCAACCACGTCATCAGACATACAAATATACAGCAACACTTGATAGCGGCTGATAAAAAGATCGTCAACAGAATTAACTCTTTAAATCACTTCTCTGTTATACCTCTCTGTTTCGCTCCCTGAAGAAGAAGAAACAGAGCGTTCACATTTCTCTGCAACATAATCATGGCATTGACCTTCTTCTTCTTGTTATCGAATTTGTTCTTCTCCGGTAAGAATCTGCCAGAAAAATCTCACATATTTAAAGACTCTAATTATTTTTAAATTTCTTCATTTTTTTCAATCTTAGGAGTTATGTCAAGGAGCTTCACATTTTCAAACAAATGCGATTACACAGTGTGGCCGGGAATTCTATCTAACGCCGGAGTTTCTCCATTACCAACCACCGGCTTCGTCCTCCTGAAAGGCGAGACGCGTACAATCAACGCACCGTCATCATGGGGGGGTCGT